GGAGCCCAGGTTCAGATTTTGGAGCCTGTGTCGGGATTTAGGAGCCCGGGTTCAGATTTTGGAGCCTGTGTCGGGATTTAGGAGCCAGCATTGGGATTTAGGAACCCGGGTTGGGACTCAGGAGCTTGGGCTGAGATTCAGGAGCCCAGTCTGAGATTTAGGAGTCTGGGCTGGGATCTGGGAGCCCAGGAGCCCAGGCTGAGATTCAGGAGCCCAGTGTGAGATTAAGGAGTTCAGGTTGGGATTTAGGAGCCCAGGTTGGGATTTAGGAGCCTGGGTTGGGATTTAGGAGCCTGGGTTCAGATTTAGGAACCCGGGTTGGAATTTAGGAGCCTGGGTTCAGATTTAGGAGCCCACTTTGCTGCTGAGATCACACCCCCAGGATGATAGTGGGTGGGATCGGTGCTTTGTTCCCCTGGCCAGGGAATGTGCCCCAAGGGCAGCAGGATGAGGGCTGTGTGGGGGCAGGGACCCCGCCGTGCCCGTACCCTGCAGGCAGGATGGCACCACAGCTCCGGCGCTCCGTGGTCCTCGTTCTCCACCTTGAGCGGCTGCCACGTCCAGGGGTTGGCCTGCATGTGCAGCAGCCACGCGTCCTTGAAGAGCTGCGAGGGAAGGGGCAAGGTTAGGAGCCTGGGGCGAGACTCAGGAGCCCAGGCTGAGAATTAGGAGCCCAGGCTGGGATTTAGGAGCCCCCTTTGCTGCTGAGATCATCCATCCCATCAGGATGCTGGTGGGAGGATTTGTTCCTGTGGAAAGGGAATGGTGACCCAAATCAGGAGCTGACTGCCTGGGAGTGACCACACCTCACCATGCCCACGGATAAATCCCTTCATTTCCATCTCCTATCCCAGTCCAAAGTCAGGGCTCATCCTTCCAAGGCTCAGTGAGCTGCTCAGAGAGCGCCTCGGAGTTTTTTCCTTAATTAAAGCAGCTCTAGCAACACCTAAACAGCTTCTCTAGAAAATCTCCAGCGTGGGCGCTCGGATTTGAGGGATAAGATGCCCCCTGGGCCCCCCTGCCCCCAAATGCATCCCCCAGGGCTCCCGGTGCCGTGTCCCTGCTCCCCCAGGTACTCACGGCGTTGGGGCCCCCGCAGCCCCCCAGGATGAGGATGGTTTCGTTGTCCAGGACGATCTGCAGGGCAAAGAGCAGGGTCAGGGCTCCTGCCAGGCCTCCCAGGGCACACAGAGCAGGTTCTCAGCTGCACAGGTGCTGCTGGATCCTGCCTGCCCCGGGCTGGGCTCTGGAGCAGGGATGGAGAGCCGGTTCTGCCGGGCCTGGGGCAGAGCAGGACGGAGGGTTCATCCCACGGCCTCGGCCCAAACCAGCTCCTCTCACCCGGGAGAGAAATCTCCCTTCCCAAAGCTGAGCCGAGGCACAGGGGCCTCAACACCCCTCTCCAAAGGAGTGGGAAGGTGGGAGGATTGTTTGGGAGGCAGGTGCTGGCAGCAGTGTCTGTGAGTGCTGCTGGTGGGCGAGATATTCCCTCGGGCTCTTTTCCCAATGGATGAGGCACGTTGGAGCACAGCCCGTCTCTGCTGGGTGCCCTGGTGGGATGAGCCACACTGGGAATCACTGGGAAGGCAGGGATGGAGACACCTGCACCAAGCCAGGTGACACCCATGAGCTCCTGCCCCGGGCAGCAATCAAACAGGCGCTGCCAGCCCGTGCTCGGAGCGGGAACTGTCCAGAGCCACTGGATCCTGGGATCGGGAGAGCGGAGCAGCCACAACGGCCCCGAGCCAAACCACCCTGTGCTAACTCTGCCCTGATCTGAGCCGCCCCAGGGCACGAGCCTGGGGTGAGAGCAGCAATTTGTGTCCTACAAATGTGCAGCAGAGCTCTGAGTCACGCCCAGAGATCAGGAACAGGGAGGGAAAGGGAGGGCCCGGCGGGCAGGGGATCTCGGATAACTCGGGAATGAGCCAGGCAGAGCTGCCTGGCAGCGGGAAGGGAAGCTGAGCCCGGTCTCTCTCACCTGGGACTGGCCCCCCCGTGGGTGAGGGCTGGGCCCTGAGATGCTGGGCTTGGACCAGGCCCACTGCTCCAGATCCAGCACCCACACGTCGTTGCTCCTGCAGGGACAAGACAAAGGGATGAGGCACAGCCGGGGCCTGAGAGCTCTGCCCAGGGCACAGGCTCAGGGCACACGGGGTTTTTGGCAGGCTGGAGCCTCGGGATTTGCCACAGGAGGTGTGCTAAGGCAGCAGTGAAATCCTGGGGAGAATTCCTTCTGAAACACCAGGAGCTATCTCGGGACATCCCAACACCCGCCCGGCTCATCCCAACTCACATCTGCCGAGATCCAAGAGATCCCCCAAAAACAATCATCTTGTCCTCGATGACACAGGAGGAATGTCCTGCCATGGGAGGGGGGCCGTGGGTGGTCATGATGCAATTCCACCTGGGAAAGAGGCAGGAAGACGTTCACCATTGGGAGGGAAAGGAAAACACTGGATGAACAGCAAACAAAAATTCCCAGCGGCCGGCAAAGAACATGTTCCAGAGGAAAACCACCAGGAAAACCTCCGAGTGTCCAAATAATAACGAAACTAATTAGAAATCCAATGTGCTAAACATTTTCAAGGCATGAGCCAGTCCCGTGGCCAAGGTGGGAATATCCCCCCTTCCAATTAAGTTTGCCCCGAATTCTTTCCAGGGAGTTTAATTACAGAGTTGTAATGACCAAAGTGCCCTGGATAATTGATACTTGGGAGGATGGAAAGTTCTCAGTGGGAGAGGAGCAGGAATGATCCCTTTGGTACAGCCTCTGCTGCTTTCTCACACACAGGATCGGTGGCAAAGCCAGGTCTAAAAACAGCTAAATGGTGTTGAAAGGGAACAGGAAAATTCCTGCCAGCTCCATGGGCACTGGATGCTCCATCCAGGAGCTGTAGAGGCAGGGATTTATAAAATGATGGAGAAACCTGCTTTCTCCCAGCTCCCTGAGGGAGCTGAGTTTTGGATCATGACTAAAAACAAGACCTCCAGCAGTTAAAGCTTATCTCAGAACCACCTCCCTGCTCACAGCCAGTGTGATTAAACACTGAAACATCTAGGTGGGAAACCTGGATGGGGATGCTCAGGGAGCCTGGAATATTTTAGGTACAAATCAAGAGCCCTGTGGCAGCAATCAGCACCCAGGAGGTGCCTGAGAGTGTCCTGTCCTTGGCTCCACTGCTGGGTTGTGGCCTTGCTTTTGCTTCAGAAAGAGCTTTAGAGACACCCCTGGGACACCAGGACCATGCCCAGCTTCCCAGGAGTTCCCCCAGCTGCATTCCAGGCACATTGCTCTGGGATCAAAGCCTGCCCTTACCAGTTTTTGGAGGGTGAGTAGGTGTGGATCTCATCGAAGAACCTCTCGGGCTGGTGCAGGGGGTAAGGGCTGGGCCGTGTCCACCCCCCAAAAAGCACCAGCAGGTCCTTGTAGACCACTAGGGTGGCCCCAGCCTTGGGGGAGGGGTAGGAACCTGGCAGGGATGGAGAAGGGCAGGGTTAGCAAAGCCATGTCTGAACAGCAGCCCCCGACTCCGCGGCGTTTCCTCCCGGAGCGTCGCAACACGGAGACTCCACCTCGCAGAAAAATGAAAATAAAGGGGGGAAAAAAGAGGCAAAATTAGAGCTGGGAGCCTGGGAAGAAAACTCCTGCCAATTTGTGTCAGCATAATTAGTAGGAGACTGAAAGCACATCTCAAAACATCTGTCACTCACTGGCAGGAAATTGCTGGTTTTCCACCGTATCCCTTCAAATTATTGCTTTAGCACTGAATAAAAGCAATAATTACCTCAAATACCTACTGACTGCTCTCCCCGAGGAAGGAGGGGGAAGGAATAGCAATTCCAAGGCATCGTGGCAGATATCTGGGAGCTCACGAGGGCAGCACACACTGAACCCCGTTTCTGCAGGATTAATCCCTGAACTTTGGGTGAAAATGGAGGCACTGCCTTGGACAAGGGATGGAGTGACAGGACAAGGGAATGGCTTCCCACTGCCAGAGGGCAGGGTTAGATGGGAGACTGGGAAGGAATCCTCCCCTGGGAGGGTGGGGAGGCCCTGGCACAGGTTGCCCAGAGAAGCTGTGGCTGCCCCAGCCCTGGGAGTGTCCAAGGCCAGGTTGGACGGGGCTTGGAGCAACCTGGGCTGGTGGAAGGTGTCCCTGCCCACAGAAGGGGGTTGGAATGAGATGATCTTTAAGGTCCTCCCAACCCAAACCATCCGGGATTTTATGATCCCAAACCTCTCGGAGCAGGAGCAGCTTCAGTGCCAAGAGCCCCTTGGCAAGGGCAGCTACAGAAGGATCAGATCCCTTTGAATTTAAGTCAGGAAATCAGCCCCAATCCACTGCAAAAACCCAACCCCTGTCTGTCCCAGGAGCCAGAGGTGCTGTGTCACTCCCTGGATGTGCAGGAGCTGTTGAATTGCTTCCCAGGAATAGGCAAAGCCTCTCCAGCCCGGGTGGACTCAGAGCATCCTCATTCCCACATTGGTCATCAGCACCAGGCACATTCCTCCACCTCCACAGTCACTCTTTCCAAATATTCCTGAACACATCATCCCAAATCCATGGCAGGGTGCCCAGCTCTGGGAACGGGGCGGCTCCAGGGCACGTGGCCACGGTGCCACCGTCCCCTCTCCCGAAAAGGCCGACGGACCCTCTGTCCCCTGCCATGTCCCCATGAGACTCAGGGGCACATTTTTAGCAGGGAATGACACAGAACAGACTATTTTTAAAAGAAACCAGAGCAGCTATTTTGGGATGTTACAGCGGAGGGAAGAATTCCATGGGTTCCAGGTGGGGGGTGGGAAGAGCCTGGCAAAAAGCAACCCCTGGCCTGACACAGCGAGATGGCCACGGTGTCCCTGAACCCTTCCCGAGGGACAAAGCACTCTGCTGCTCTCAGGGACATGGATATAAGGGAAAAACGGGAATAAAGCTGTGCAGGAGACAATTCCTGTGCTGGGTCACAAAGAGAGTGTGGCCAGAGCTGTGCCAAGGTCCCTGTGAGGACGAGAGTGGTACAGAGGGTCACACTTGCTTACTCTTTGTTCCCAAATTCCAGTTTTCCTGGCTTGCTGTGTGTGCAATTCACCCACACCAGCGGGTTTCCAGCCTGAATATTTCCCTGGAAGTGCACAGTCGTTCTCCCAAGCTTGGCATCACGAATGGAATGGCCAGAAACGTTTCCACCCGCTGTGGGGAAACAGGGCAATTCCCTCGGGGATGCCACGAGGAGCTGGGCTTATAATGGGTGATTTTGAAACAAAAAGGGGCAGCTGGAGTAATCCCAGTATGGAGAAACACTGGCACATCACTCCGAAAGGTCTGGGATGGTGCAGTGACCTGAGAGTCACCCCGGCTGAGCAGGGACCGGCTCCTGGTGAGTCAGGCCCTGCACACAGCCCAGGGCAGGGCCGGCCCCGGTTTTTCAGGAAGCTTTGCCTGTTCTGGGCCATTGTCCGGATGTAAATGAGCCGAGTTTCGGTTCTGCAGTGCAAGAAAAGGCAGAATTTTACAAGTCAAAGAAGCGTTGGCCTCTCTAAGCCTCTTCCAGCCGAACAACCTGGATACCCACGGGATACCTCTGGATGCTCCCTGCAAATGAGGTGCACCAGGAGCATCTCCAGGGATCTGGCGTTGAAGCAAAACACGTGGAAAATTGCAGAATTCACAGTGTTTATCCCTAAAGCAGGGGAGAGCTGCTGCCAAGGTCCTTGGGAAGGGCAGGACTCCCGAGGGAGCTGGAGCGAGGCCGGAAGGCGCCGGAAGCTTTGTGAGCTCAGGCCTCAGGTATGTGGAGAACAGGGCACGGGGACATCAAAGGGGCCCCACCGGGACATCAAAGGGGCCCCAACAGGACCTGCTCAAAGTCCAGGCCCTTGGGAGGATGTGGGAGTGGCCTTTCCAAGGCTCCCAGGAACACCTGACACGGGAGGGCTCCTCCCACTCCGGGACCGGGATGGGGATGGCCCAGGGAGCAGAACCTCACTGGTTCATTGTCCCGGTTCCCACTGCTCCAAAAGGACTGTTTCCAATTCCACAGGGAGCAGAACCTTGCTGGTTCATTGTCCCGGTTCCCACTGCTCCAAAAGGGCTGTTTCCAATTCCACACCCCCAGCACAGCACCCAGCCCAACATCCAGGCTATCCTTCCCTGGGGACAGAGATCCCAGCAGGCAGAGGGTGCAGCACATGAACTCCCTCCATCTCCCCACAGCTCCTGGTGCTCTTTCAGCCACTTAAGAGCTGCTCCAATCAACTTCTCCCCCAGCTGATGGATTTTCCTGGCTCACAAAGCCAAGGAAACCCACCCAAGCAGGGACCTCCGGCTCCCACGGATGTTTGGAAGAGCCATGCCAGGCTCTGGTGGCTCCCCACACGAGCTTGGGGTGTTTTATCCGGGCAGGATCTGCCCTCCTCAGCAGTTCCCAAAGCCCACTGATCCGGCCCTGTAATCCTGCCGGAGCAGCACGCGCCGGGATTAACGGACACAAAGGGAGAGCCCGGCTGGGAGGGCACGTGGAGCACGGATTTCCAGACCAGCCTTTCACCTCTGGTGGGTGCAGCCCTGGGAGACTCCACAAACGAGCACCAAGAGGAGCTTGAAATACAAAAGGCAATGAAATGGGTGATGGGATTATCCAGGGGGAAGGATTGGCTCAGATCCATGGGGTTTGGGGGAATATTGCACTGGAGCAGCGCCAAGGGGGGAAGGGTAAAACATGGGAAGAGTTGTGTCAGGGGGACAAATAGTGGGGAGTTTTATTTCTGGAGAGAGGTGAGACAAGAGCCACAACTAGGGGCTGGTTTTGCTGGATTTGATGGGTTTTTCCAGCCACCTCAGCTCCAGCAAGAGACAACTCCTGGGGCTGATCACCACCATCCGACCGGATTTCCATGAAATACCCGGATAAACAAAGCCATGTTTCCAATTCCAAAGCCAAGGAATTAAAGGGAGCTGGTCCAGCAGCCCATGAATTTCAAATGCAAAGGGATTTGAGGTCCCAGGTTCCAAAGCTGCCCTCGAGCTGCACCCCAAAGGTCCGAGGGCAGGAATCATGGAATGGTTTGGGTTGGAGGGACCTTCAAGCTCATCCAGTCCCAACCCCTGCCACAGGTGGAACTTTCCACCATCCCGGGTTGCTCCAAGCCTGGTCCAACCCTGCCTTGGACATGTTTTCCCAAGGCAGGACAGTCCTGTCCTGCCCATGGAGTTGTTCCTCCGTGGGGTTCCATCCTGTTCCCCGGGAGTTTTGTGTCTCTGTGCCAGGGGCTGTTTTCCAGCCTGGCTTTACTAGTCCAGCTTTTAATCTGGTAGAGACTTAAAACCTCAGTTCCAAACTGGACCCCTGATCCCTCCCCTGGCATCATCCACCCCGGCTGAGGGATTGCCTCCACCACCCCAAGGTCCATCCCAAACCTGTGTGACCAATCCCCAAATCCTTCCCTTTCAACTGGAAGCAAAACCAGAGCAGGAAAAAGGAAATCCCTCTGCTTCCCAGGCCAGCCAGGACTTTTCCACAGCCATCTGCAGATTCATCCCAAAGTTTTTCCCCTGCCAGGTTACCCAAAGGGAAGAGGACAAGCAGCAGCCCAGAGGCTGGAACATGGGATGAGCATCCCAGCAGTCCCAGCACTGGGATCGGATTTGAGAGACAGCAAAGGAGAACCCCTATGGGAAGAGCAGACATCTCCATGGAATGCTGCACACCTAAGTCAAACCCCAACACTTAGGACTCGCTGCTCAGCTGCCTCAGATCCCAGCACCTGACAGTCACCTGTTTTTATTCCCAAAATGTTTAAAACGTTGGGATTCTGAACATTTTCCAGACTGGCTTTGACCAGGCCTGTCTAAACCTTAAAGCCTTTAAAAGCCACCAAAGTATCCCTTTCCCTTTCCAAAGCCACAGGAGATTTACTGTTCCCTTCCCAAAAACCCCCAAATTCCATGCTGGGAATCAGGCAGGAACTCAGCCTCATATGAATTTAAAGGAAAACAGAACAAGACCCAATTTGTCTCCTCAAAAATGAGATAAACCCTTTGCAGGCACAAATATCTGAATATCTGCTGCCTGGGACACACTGCTCAGGAGGGAAGGGGGGGATATCCCGAGTTTTTTCCCCAGTTTTGGGGGGTGTGTCACCAAACCATGGCAACCCCCATGCTTACACACAGCCAGAGTTCCCGGTGGCCGATTCCCACCCTGCGGTGACAGGGGAGTGTGGGACAAGCCCGGTCAAAGCGCCGGTGGGGAAGGGAAGGTTTGGTTTCCTGCAATCCCTGCGAGGTGGAGGCAAAACCCCGTGGGGGAGGAGAAGTCAGGATAAGTCACCCTGGAGCTGTTGCAACGGTGGTTGTTTTTTTAAGGCCGGAATTCGTGAGGTGCCGCTGGAAAAGGAGAGGCAGTGCCCTCTGAACCCTGAGCAACAGGATTGACTGAGTCACTCCCGGCTAATGCCGCCAAAAATGTC